TTCTTGTACGGTAGGAAAGTCACGGTCAGAACCGACCATAGTGCATTGAGATGGATCCTTAATTTTAAGAATCCGGAAGGACAGATGGCTTGAGGTGATTTCAGAGTATGACATAGAAGTACAGCATAGAGCTGGAAAGAAACACGGCAACGCGGACGGGTTGTCTAGGCAACCCTGTAGACAATGTGGCCGAGAGGAAGTGACGTCACAAGAGGACAAGGCATTGGTTAGAGGCGTAGAGGCCGAACCAAGTGTCCCACTAGAGGCTGTAAGGAAAGCCCAGTTAGAAGATGAGACGATACGTTGGGCCTTAGAGGCCAAGGAAGAGAGCAAAGATCGTCCGAGTGGGTAGAGATTTCCCACTTGACAGCGGCCCATAAGACGTATTGGTCCTACTGGGACCAGTTGAGTGTGAGAGAGAAGGTGTTGCATAAAAGGTGGGAGTCTGATGACGGTACAGTCGTGATATGGTTACTAGTGTTGCCACAGAGTTTGAGGAAAGAAACCCTGAGGGAGGTGCACGGTGGACTGCTTAGTGGTCATTTGGGCATAAAGAAAACCCTTGCCAAAGTAAAGAGAAGATATTTTTGGCCAGGTATGTCCACAGATGTTCGCTCCTTCATAAGGGGTTGTGACCTCTGTGCAAGAAGAAAGTCCCCTGCGAAGAAAGGGATTGCACCCTTGCAACAATATAGAGTGGGAGTGCCTGTAGAGAGAGTGGCCATAGATTTGCTCGGGTCACTGCCCAAAACAGAGAGTGGGAACCAGTGGGTTCTCGTAGTGGGTGATTACTGTACAAAATGGATGGAGGCCTATCCATTGCCTGACGCAACGGCGGGTACAGTAGCACTCAAACTGGTGCAAGAGTTCGTGTGTAGATTTGGAGTACCACAAGAACTCCATTCTGATCAGGGCACCAATTTTGAGTCAGAAGTCTTCACAGAAATGTGCAAGGTCTTAGGAATCACAAAGACAAGAACGACAGCATACAATCCTAAATCAGACACTAGTAAACATGGTGGCTGTGCTGATTGACCCACAGAAGAGGCATAGAGACTGGGATAAATTCCTCCCTTATGCAACCTTTGCGTATAGATGCACCCCACAAGACTCCACAGGGGAGTCCCCCAATATAATGATGTTGGGGCGAGAAGTCAGTATACCAGTTGACCTGGTCACCGGTAGTCCAGAGACAGGGTTTGACACTCGGACAGACTTTGCAGAAGAGTTGCAAAGAAATTTGCAGAGTGCACATCAGAGGGCTAGAGACTGTCTCGGGAAAAACTCCCAAAGACAGAAGAGAAACTATGACAGAAGGAGAGTTTGCCTGGCTACACAACCCGGCTAAGAAGAAACAGTTGTCCCCCAAATTGCAGTTGAGATGGGAGGGACTGTGGCTGATAGTTAGGAGATTGTCAGATGTGACCTTCCGAATACAGATACGGAAAGGGGGAAAAATGAAAGTGGTGCATTCTGACAGACTTAAGCCATACCAGGGTGAGAAACTGGTACCCTGGAGTCACTCTCCAAAAGCATGTGAAGAAGCTCCTCAGATTGATAGAGCAGGAGAAAACCCTCAAGGCGAAGTGACAGAAGAGACTCCTCATGTTGAGGAAACAGAGAAAACAGAGCAAATAGAGCAAGAAGAACCGGAAATAGAAGCTCCGGTAGAAAATGGGGATGTTCAGATAGAGGTTAACCCCATCAGAGTGCCAGAGAGGACCAGTATGTCTCGGAGGAACCCGAGGAGAGAGCACCGCCTGCCTGTAAGATACTGATAGAGTGGCAGACTTTGATAAAGATGTGGATGTGGTAGTAACAGTTTTGTTTTCGGTTTTGTTATTGCTTACAGAGCCATGATGTCAAGCAGAAAGAGGAAGGCCAAGGAATTTAAGTGCCGAGAGTGTAGGGAGGTATTCTCACAGGGAGACTCCCTATGGGACCACATCAGAGGGGCACATGGGCCGATTGAGTACCTCCATTGCCTACGGTGTAGATACAGAGCTACAGCCAAGCACACGCTCCAGAGGCACTACGAGAAATTCCACGGTGAGCACCGGGACGAGGCGGCAGCCATAACGCCTCAGCTGGAAAGGCCAGCTGAAGATCTCCAACTTCTCAGAGTTGAAGCCAGAGGCGGAGAAGGGTCCGAAGAGGACCGAGCACAGATAACAGACGAGGAAGTGGCGGTGCTGTCACTGTCCCCCTGCCCCATTTCTGCCTTGTTGGCAATACCAGAGCCACAGGAAACTTCAGCATCAGTCAGAATAGCCCCACCTCTCGGAGGGAAACCTCGAGGCATTTTGGCCATGCAACCGCCAGCACACCCCTCTCCGACCTCCACACACTCATCTATGCCACCCCTAGAAGAGATGACCCCCTCCCCCTCCCGAAGTGGTCGTGACTCACCTCCGTTGAAGATGAGGAGACTCATCACAATCCGAGTAAGGACAACCACCGAAGTGATCTACCGCAACAGGGTCGTTAAGAGAAACGACGAGGTCGCCGAGCATCTGCAAGAGACAGAGCTGGACGCTGCACTGGATGATCCTCAGGAGGACGAGACCCAACTAGCAAGTCCTTAGGGCCAGTTTAAGTTTATTTAGTGTTAGTAGTTGTTTTTAGTTTTAACAGTTGAAAGAAGTTTTGTTAGTGTTATTTAGTGTGTAAAAGAGAAGTTATTTTATCTTTAAAAGTTTTAAATTCAGTGATTATTGCCTTCCTCTTGTTCAAAAAGAAATCCGTCCATTGGTTAAAATGATTCCCAGTTAATTTTGGATACTATTCGAGTTTAAGTGTGATTTTCCATCTGTCTTATCCCTAAAATTATCTGCATAAATTGTAATCTGTTGATACAAAACATTTCCTTGTATAAAAAGAAAAACAATCAGGAAAAATGCTTTTATCTTTGCCGAGGATTCATGATTTCTAAATAAATTGTGTGGTTCAAATTCATTATAAGGAAAACTTTACCATGTATAAGCTAAGTTTTGTATAAAGAAAAACAAAGACTTAGTTTTGTGTAAAGAAAAACATAAGATTAATGCTGTATAAAGGAAAACCTAAGCTTCATTCTGTGCCAAAGAAACACATAGTTTGGCTTTTGTGTAACTGAAAAACATCAATTTACTTTTGTATAAAGGAACACATAAGTTTAGTTTTGTATAAAGAAAAATCATAAGTTTAGGGTTGGCGGCCAATCACGGCGTGATTGGGCGTGGCCCCGCTACCCTTGCTGTGGTACTTGAGCGCATGGTCGGCCGGGCGTGACAGAGTTGCGTAAGTTGTTCCTCAGTTCTGTGTATTGAGCGGGTTCAGTAGTAGTGTACGAGTGAAGTTCCAATTGTCCGTGACGAAGCTAGCGTTTTGCTTTGGCGAGGCCGTGTGTGGTGCAGTGTACCGGTGTTGACGCTGTTTCGGCCTGACTTCTCGTACCGTGGTTGAACGATTGTACGGAGCGCAGAGCCCCGTGGTGTGACCCAGTTAGCTTGGTAGGACCAAATTGCTTTATCGTGTAATTTAGTGCATTTTTGTGCGATTGTTGCAGTTGAGTGTTTGACTTACAGAGTAGGGTGACTAAGTACAGGCATAAGGATTGTTGTCGTGGGTTCACAGAGGGGTCATTCTATAAATTTGGGGTCCACTTTTTTCCTGTCCCTGTTACATCTGACATCCATGATTGTATAATTCTGATGCACTCCTTAATGCAGTCATCCTCCAAGAGTGATTATGAATAGCAAACTACCTACCCAACAAATAAACAATCATTTGAAGTCATTCTTAATGATGCTTGAATGGCAAATTACAAAGTACAAAGGTAACAGGGACGGTAAAAATGTCACACTTTGGACCCCAAATTTATAGAATGACCCAGAGACGTGCGATAACATAGAGGGTTGACCCAGAGGTTGACATAGAGGCCTGGGAGGAATAGTCACAGGTAGTCAATAACTGTACTCGGTCAAGTTTATTGTCACACGGGTTTTGTCGTATACTGATCAGCTAAGGCGCTCAAACTTATATAATCATAACAATCCAACGATAATAACCTTATAAATCAAAGAGTTCCCAATTAAGTCAGAATTGTCCGTGCTTAAATAAACCAATCATTTCCTTTCCACAAAGAGAATTGTGTATTCCTGTGTCCAATATTTCTGCAGTTTCTTCGTCTGTTTGTTCTGTTCTGTACTAGAGTAACAGGGCCTGGTAATCAGTATCCAACTGGGCGGTAGATTTCCACCAAAACAAGCTTGCATCCCTGGGCCTAGAGGCTGCTCGAAAACTTCCCTAGGTTCGAGGCAGAAAACATAGTTTGGGGTTAGAGGAACTTTCACCTCAGTCGGTGATTGCCTTCCCTGACCTCTGGTTTAAATTGACCTCGGGAGATTCCGCCACAGTATGAACGCGAATACAAAGTAAATGGATTGATGTTTTTGTCATCTTGGCATCAGGTAGTGTTTATTTCTTCAGATCAACAAGTGAAAAAAGTTTCAAGACATGTTAACTGGTGGCAAATAGTGTTCCATGTTACGTTTATTTTGGAAGCGAAAACGTTGCCAAAAATACCCACGATTATTTTTGTGATCAAAAATTGTTCCAACATATTAAAAACCAAGCTCGAGTTTGTTACCGTCGGCGCGCTGCGGCTGGCCGCATGACCTGAGTGCAATCAGCCATGAAAGCAATATGCAAATCTTCACCTATTGTTATGCAGGAAGCTTAATCTGGTCGGCGGGACGCAGCGCGCCGACCCTCGGCGCTGTGCGGCGCTGTACGGCTCGCGTCGCGCCGAGTAAATTTTATTTGCCTTCTGCCCTAACCAAACCCTTGCCTACTGCAATGGTGGACGATCACAGGGAAACTGAATGGTCACATGGTACTTTGATGTCATACGATCAGAACCTACTAAACATTATGTTGAAAAAAGAGGCCTTTCTGAGGTTATTGCTTGGTGGAGCACACCATTGTGAATTCCTCCTATTTCGGTCGTTGTGTCTCACCTCTGTTTTTTTAGCTGGTGTTTTCTTGGTCTGGAGTGGTTTGAGGCCCGGTGGGGTGGCAAGAGAGATGTTGGGATCATCCAGATTCAGCCCTTTCTTGAGGGGCGTGATGGGGCGATCATCACCTGCTGAGGGTGCCTTCAAGGTGCCCATACCTAGCGAAATGAAGCATAATAAAGTCAACGTGAAACTCTGTTTGCAATGAATATTTCTACTAACCCTCCCTCTCTCAGTGACAATCTGTAGAGAGTTACCCTATAAGCCACAATCTATCAGATGACAGGTTTTAACAGGTCTGTTAACTGGCTTCATATTGGTACAATTGACAGGCTGTGGTAGGTATGTTAACTGAGGGTACCATGCCTTGACTGACATTGATAGATATGGTGGGTCAGGGCTGGTGAGTGCCTGTCAATGATGGATTTAGCTCAGTCACAATGAAGGCACAAAAGGTTCACTCATGCATTCCAGCCAAACAAAGTCATCGCCCATTAAGATAGCTGCTACACAAGCAGCTGCAGTATTAATGGTCACAGTATCTATCAAACCCCTTTAACAGGCTTTGACAGTTATACGGTTTAATCCATAAGGGATCTGGTAGTTGGTGACCAGCCTGTACAAAAGCTATGGAAGAGGAAGTGGATAGATTTGTTAACGGTTTGTGACAGTTATGCAGGAGTATTAAAGCTAATAGCGGAAATAACAGTTATTTTATGACCTGGTTCAATACCCGAATGATCCTTCGAACAAATGTTGTCCGGGTAACATTCCTGAACAAAATCTGTGCTAGGAATATTTTTTTTTTTTCCGACAAAAATTTTCAACCATTATTTCTTTTCTCCTATCACTATACCATCTGTGCTTCTTGACTTCTTTAACTGACTCATTATCTTCAACTGAAGTAATAATTGGGGAATTTCTGTAAAATTTTCCAGCTTTTACTTTTCCTCCTTGACAGCCACTATACATTACTTCTAATGCCTCTCGCTTAACCTCCTTGTGGAGCATGGATTATAGACACTTACCATCCTCACTGTAGGGATTGGGTGACACGGCTGGCTTAATTGGTCTGTCGTCGTAAGATTGGTATGGTCCTGATGAAGTAAACGTGCCAACGGAACATGATCAGAATTGATCATGTCAAAGCACATTTCAATAACATCAAAATGTTTAGAGTAATCAACATTAACAGATAGAACAAAATCAAGTCCTATTTCAAAGAGCTTCCAATTTTTTTTTAAAAATTGATGAGAACAGGAAGTTTTGCATTTCTCATTTGCAATTTCATTTGATGTGCATTGCTTTTAGGCTCAGGTCATTTGATGATCTCCACCTTGAGTTGGATGGATTCTAGGGTACTCATGTTGTTCTATTTTTGACATGCCCCCCTTTGCAAGGCAGAGCTTCATTAAATATAAGGTTCAAGTATTACTAGTACTGCGCTATTAATGATTCTCTGGTTGCTGCTAAACTCAAACCAACACAGGATCTTCTGCTTTAAATGTGCCAAACTGATACTTCAATCCCTCTGATGCATAGATTCTAGGAGTTACTTTAAATAGATGGATTATAGATACGTACCTTCCTTTGTATATGCACTGGGGGACACTGCTGACTTGATAGGCCTGTCCTCATAGGAATGGTAGGAAACTGTACGTGGCAATATAAGCAATCAAAATAAGTTATTCGTCTTTATTTATTTATTTAAATGGATAAGCACTAAAAAAAAAAGCAGCGCCCACTTGTACCAAAAGGAACCAAAAAGGATGACAAAGTGCAGTAATGATAACAATATACATTGCGTGATGGAAAATTGCAAATGATTAAGAAAGATATTGTCGTGTCTGTGCAACATATCGTATCTCCTAAGATGGCGTATGACGTCATGTACATGAAGCGTGAGTTTTTAATGTCAAAAAGTTGTGTCTCGCTTAAAAGACCTTGATGCAGAAAAGTTAGTATTCTCTGAAAATTGCCGAGACGTTACCTTCTCTGACTGTTCCCATGTCCTCTCTCTCCCAGTTACTGCCCGAGTCGCCCATTCCACCATCGTCTTCGTAGTAGATGTCTGGCGATGTCCCTGGTAGCCGGCTCCTGAACGATCCCTCACCGACGTACCCTTGTTGGGGCTCGTCGTAATACATGGGTTGATGTTGCTGCATAACGCAAAATGATCAGGTCACACCGTTAGTACACACACGTTTCCATATGGGTAGTTATTTCGTCATCGAAGAGTGACTGCCAACATTATTTTTACAATCCAATCAAAAAATATTATTCCATGGATGACCAACTATTCAAATATTTAGCCACAGCTTTACTAGGAAAAGGACTCAACACCAACTCAGGTGTAAGTCATCAAAATTGGGCCAGGAAAGAATGATGCATCCTGACGCCACTGTTTTTCATCATATATTATCTCAATGAAGGTCAATCATTGCAAAACTGTGGAAAAGATATGAATCTGGGACTGAGAAACATTTTTAATTTTGTTACACTCGGCTAATTTATAGACTTTGTACACAAACCAAAGAAGTGGCGTCTGGATAATACATTCTTTCCTTGGGTCATTTCAGTACCTACCTCTCCCCGTCCGCCCTGCCAGGCCGGCCGATTGAAGGTCCCTATCGTTCCCTTCAGCTCCTCTTTCCTCTGAATATTCTTGACCAGGTTGTTTCTTGCATGTGCGCTGCCAGAGAAGTAAAGTACAGCTGTTATTTGCTATATGAACGACTTGGCCTTCTAGAGGTGAGGGCAGAGGAGCATTATTTCTCTGATTCATGTACACTTGGGATTCACTTCTTGAGCAAATATTTAAACAAAAAGCCACATACATGTAGATATTACAGAAGTGTTTGCATGTTTGCTGATATGGTTTCTACATGTACACAGCGAAGGACAGATCATTAAAGGGAAAAGACAACATTTGCAAACATCAAAAGACAAAACTACCAAATGACTATGAAATACCTTACTGTACTGTTAGTGAATGACAGTCTAAAGCATCCTGTAAAATCGTGGCACCTGGTGTGCAGTCTTTTTCAAGAAAAGTGGTATTTTTGTATCAATTTCCAATGCTGGTCAGCCGACTAGCGTTGGAAAAAACTGGCTTTTTTTCAAATACTGCCCCAAATTTACCATGTGTATTCAGTCTGAAGTATGTTTGCAATCGATTACACACCTATGAACGGTTACAAGCCAGCTAGACTGGCTCCCTGACCTTACAATTCCCTGACGTCTATAAATTGCTCCGTTTCAGAGGGGTCAGGAAACCAGACAACAAGAATATGATTTTTTTGTCTGTTTTTTCCAGCATCTACGAACTTTTGCCATAAAATACTCATTCCCCAGATCCATCCATTTCTGAAAACTACAGCAAGGGCAAAATGTTGTATATTCCCTTGAACTGCCTGGACCTTGTGTTTAAGAAAATGGCTGTGAATCAGAAAGGTAAGTATTTTAAGGCAAATGCTTGGTGGTGCATTAAATTGTGAGTCTGCTCTATTGTTGCATCTCTATCATGATATGGCTCTCGCTTCTATTCCTATTTATAATAGAAATTGGAATACAGTATTTCTTCTCACCTAAAGATCTGTGCCTTCTCATCAGCCATTTGCATCTTACGGATCCTCATGCGTTCCTTGGGCGTCAGGTTCTGGTAGGGGTCTTGGACGGAGGGGCTCTGTGTCCGGTGCTGCTGGGGGTGGGGTTGTGTCTGCTGGGGGATGGGCTCTTTTAGCGAGACGTCCTTCAGGTCTTCCATGTGTGTCTTCTCTCGCAGTAAAGTAGCCAGCTCCTGCGTGTCTCGCTCGATGTACTCCCGCGTCTCCTCCCGATGTTCTTTAATCTCCGCGATCCTCTTCTTCATCTTCTGCTCAAACAAAGTTTATTCAAAGGCTAACCAGATACTTGTATTTCTCGAGAAACTTTAAATCTCTCACTATAGATAAGACCATTCTTCAATTGTTTTATTATTAATTATTCTGTCTGTTATTGCTTTTTGCCTTGTTTCTTGGTTTCAGGAAGTTACATTGCAAAATAGAAGAAAGTTGGTAGAAGAATTTGGCACAAAATAATGTGTAGGCAGTGCCACAAATATTGGGAATTGGACTCGAAAGGACAGAAAAAGCCAGAGATAAGTACATCTCTCTGATGCCTACCTCCATGTGTCTCAATACAAATGGCAGCTTGGTGACTTCAGTAGCTGAGGGCCTTTTGGCAGGATCTCTGTTCAGCATTCTGGAGAAATTACAGAGGGACAAAAAACACTGAAAAATGCAAAAAACTGAATGGGGGTGATTTTGCTTTCGATTTCCATATCAATTGATATTTATAACCTATGATATGTTTACCAAACATAGTTTAATAACATAGTATAAAAAAAAATGCGAAATAGAGGTGTTTTTATGAAGAAAACCAATCGGCATCTCTTTCATTTACACAACTACAAAACTAGAAACTTTAAAGGCCTCTTCTCAGTATTTTACTTTTTGACATGTAGATAAGTGCAAACTTAAAACAGCCCTAACTTATCAACTGAATGTCCAACTGAAGTATAACAAACAATATTGTAAGGAGAATTTTGTTCTCTTTCCTAATACCTACAAACCCTCTTTCGGCCTCTGCCCAGATGTGACTTATTTTGCCAGAAAACTCTCACATGTTTGAAAAGAAATTAAATACAAACTTAAGCAGAAATTCAATAGCGCCAGAGATAAATATTTTACAACTTGACAAAATTTGGAAACAAATCTCTACACTTTTATTTGGTGTAGGTCTACTCATTTACTCACACATTTAATAGCTCCTGGATGTTACTGTCATATTTCTTTGGTATCTCCGGTGTCTTGCCTTCTACTATCTTGTACATGACGCCCATCAGTGACTGGCCCTCAAAGGCATGTTGGAGGGAACACAGCTCGTAGAGAATGCAGGCGATTGACCTGAAATGATGACAAAACATACAAGCGATAGTCTTGGAGAATCAAGCTAATGTTATTGGGTAAACATGAGGTGATGTTCTCCACGGAATCTATATATGAACTTCAGCAACCGATTTTAAGAAACTTTACACAATAGCGTAACTCCACTTGTGCAACATTTGATTATGTAAGTTGAGCAATATTTCACGCAGTGCAACAGTTCAGTTATGACAATTTCATAAAAAAGTTTCATAGTGCGTTTAAGTCCATGACTTGCACAACAAATTATGGCGTAACATGGCGTAACTTGCGCAATTGCATTAGGTAACGTAGGTTATGGCGTAGCGACTGAAAATGACCAGCAAATTGTGACTGTCGTGGAGCCTGTCATTGCACAACTTTAATACCAAAGTTGATACAAGACACTCACAGCTTTGTGCTTGAAGTAAATGAATTTCTCTTGACAGAATTTTTATAGAGTTGCTGCATGATTCTGAAGAAAATCGGGAAAAACTATTTTCAAAATGGCCGGCGGAGGTGATTCAACGACTGTTTCAAGGCCGAACAAAATCACACACAAACAGCCATCAAAAATGCTCTTATTGTCCTCGTCTAAGATGTTTCGATTTTTTAAAACGTTGGGCCGCTACTCAAAGTTTCGTGAAATTGCACAACAAATTTGTTGCGTAAGTCCTACGTATGGCGTTAGTTATGTTCTGTTTTGTGAAATCGGCTGCTGAACTTCGTCAATCTCATACCATGGTATAACACATTAAAATGGTCCACCTCATATTATTTACCAGATGTCAGATTTGGAATTGTAGCCCTCGTGTTTCAGCACCTCGGGGCTCATGTAGTACGGGGTACCGGTGAACGTGCTGGCCATGTCAGTGGTTCCCATCAGGACACGGGAGATGCCAAAGTCACCGATCTTGATCATGTTGTTCTTCAGGAAGATATTACGGGTCTTCAAGTCACGGTGAAGCACTCTCCTTTTATTGAGAAAACAAATAACAGAAAGTGACGTGAAAAACTTAGAATTATTCCTTTAGTTTAAAAACTACATCACCCTAACCTTCCCAACTCCATCAAAATCCATCCCCCCATTTTGGTGGATTTTGGGGGACTTGGTCCTGCAGGCCTCGTTTGACTAAATATTGATGGAGTATGATGGACTTGGGCCTGGAAGCATGCATTGGAAGCAGTGTGATTGATGGATTTTGGCGGATTTGGTCCAGTACTTAGTAAAAGACAGTAGGGAGTTAGGGTTAATCCTACTCATAATATTTGAGAAGTATCATCCAATTTTGGTGCAATTTTCTGTTTTAAGTTTTGACATTTAATTTTGACTCTTTACCAAGGTATTTCATAAACAGAATAAAGTCAAACATTGATTTGAGGATTAAAAAACAATATTTCTAGGATTTTTTTTCTGTGAAAGATGTTGATATAATAGCATCAGAGAAATCTAGTAAATAGGAAGTAAAACACAGAGTTATGTGTTTTGAGAACATAAAAATTGTGGGTTACAATTATGCTTTTTTTTTTTTAGTAAAAATACAAATTCACTATAATTGGTTACTGGTAAGGGCTGTTTTTCTGTTTTTGCCTCAGATTTCACACACCAAAAAACCCCTAACTATGATAAGTACATGTATGAAAATTATGAAAACCTATGATAACTAAACCAGAGCAATGTATAGGAACTATGTATTTCAAATCCTTTAAATGAAAACCCATCTACTTGTGGTATGAACTTGTACATGTACACAAATATTGAAACATTCACAAATTAATGTAGAAGCTAGTCACGCTAGTCACCTACAAATATACATGGAGCATTTGTTTGGTTAAACCCAGTGCAAGCATTTTTCTCTCACACAAATATATACTGTTGCCATGGTAACAGTAACTTATATTTACCCTCTGCCCATAGAGGTCACGTGTAGGAGTACAAGGTCAAGCATTAGGGAGTGTGACCGCAGTGACATTTGACCTATTGCTACTCATTTAAACACTAGAGAACCCATTAATCACAATAGAACCGTCAGGCGTGTCAGAGATATGACAGCTTGCTGGGTATAAAGTTCACTGAATGAGGCTGCAAGTGGCATTTCTCTGTGTGTGTGAACCGTGTGTGTGAACCGTGCATGAAAGAAGTACGCAGTACACAAAGAGGTTTTTTGATAGTACAATACTCTACTTGTAATACAATGGTGCTATAATGTGCATCAAGAGAGGCATACAGATATTTGTGACAAGTTGTTATTTCAAAATGTCTTATATGTTCCATTTGGGTTGTAGGCCTAGGCAATTTATCTTACTAGGTCACAGCAAAATTGCCAAACAAACTTTTCTAAATGAAAAAAAATACGAAGAGTTGTCACAAAACTTTAGCAACGGGTGGTTTTCCATTTTATTCCTTGGGGAAATAGTAGCCATGTATCGCTCTTCAACATTCAAACACGATGTAACCATGGGTGGTTTGATGTTCGGGAATTAAAAGTGGCCCAAATAGTGTTTCATACATGTACAACCGGTAGTTTTTTTTGTTAATCTGTTGACTTTTTTCAACAACGATGTTCGGTACGTTTTGTACATTAAAACCAGGAGCCAAGGATGATGTTCGGTATAGCCGAATGTTCGGTATAGCGGCGTTCCACTACCAAATATGTTCACACAGACTCAACTTACAGGGAAATAAATCATGGCTTTTGTACAAGACTGAACCCAACAGTTGCGGATCACTTTCGACAGTTGCTGATCATGTATGCCGCGCCACCTCGTACATCATTCAACGGTACATGTACAATTCATCATTCACGGCGCGCTCAGCGCGCGCGTCGTGTGTCACGCCTGTTATCATGCAGACTGCACACAAAGCTGCATCGTGTGCATGGGTGATCCGCAACGGTCTTACCAGCAAGCTAACAAAATTATCAGCAAATACGGCAATTCAATTATTTCAAATGCCCAAATCATTACAACTCAATGATACCTGAGATTATTTCTTGACAAGAAAACCTAATATAGTCAAGAAAAACAATATATGTTGACTACGTACTGGAGTAAACCAGAATTTTGCCATGACGCGTTTCTCTTCACAGGCTAAGTACAAAGCAGATATTTTGCCGAACTGGATGATGGGTAGTGTTTAAGCGATTTCCCAAATTTCTTTTTTCCCAACAATTGCAAACTGATAGACACTGAAATTGGTGACAAAATTCTTAAACTTTCTTGGGGGTTACAGTTGAATTAATTTTGATTGAATCAAGTGATCCGGAACTTTCAATGATCTGGAACTGTCACGCTGACTGTACTTATTCCCATAATTCACTATACAGTTTATACACAGACTCACAGTGACTGTTTGTTTATATAGAGTTTAAAGGTCAGTTACAAAGAATAAATTATGGCTTTCTTCAAAAACTGAATTCCATTGAATGGGGAATGCCATTATTTCCATCGTGTACAGATACAATGCACAAACAAGCAACCTCTGAGAATCACATCGATCAAAAATTACATCAAACTGAAATCAAAATCATATTGACTCTCCATAAAATGTAAAAAAGACTTATACTATTAGAAATCCCAGGTATTATCAAGTATTTCTTTGCATGTTTTTGTTTATTTTGTAAATTCTAATTAGCTGTTTCGGTGTACACACCGAAACAGCTCTTGTTTTCGTTAAGATTTTTGGCTTTTCCGCATTGTTGCGGAAAAGCCTTTCTTTTTGTTCTGATTTTTTGGCTTTTCCGCAAACTTGCGGAAAAGCCTTTGTTTTTGTTCTCATTTTTTTTTTTTTTTTTTTTGGCTTCTTCTTTTTGTCGCCTTAATCCCATAGACTTTGTGCACGTTTTTTCTCAACGCCACTTTTGGCATTAATCTTTGTCATACATCATTCAAAGTTAGCATAAGCATAGTCCCTATAGCAAAGATGTGTCCCGAAGATTGACGTCATGGTGACGTCATCGACTAATTTATTATAGATTTTTGAATATTTAATTTTTCCCATAGACTTTGTACACAGAAATTTTAAAAAAATTGTCGATTTGCAAAGGGCATTTTTGACTCTTTGCCAGTAATTCATTTACACCAATCTTTGTCTAAGCAAAGACCCTAATTTAAACAACATTGTGTAATGATGACGTCATGATGACGTCATCAGGTGTGTATTTATAGGCAATTAAATTGTGACACTTTTAATATTCAAAAATGCATAAGAAATCAACCGTAGGCGTCCGCAGCATTTTGTTGCCGGCAAGTGGTAGAATAGGTTGAGGTCTTTATTTCATTCAGTGTGCGTGAAATCACGTGACCCTTGCTTCCGGTCGAAAAAGGCCCAAACCGGAAGTGGCTTATCATTTGAAAGTGGTAATAGATATAAACTTGCTTTTAACGGTGTTAGTCTCTTGGCCAATAGTATTCTTCAAATCATCTACCGATGACGTCATGCAATCTTCGAGCGCCCTCTAGCGAGAGGTTGAAAATTAGCAAAAATGTATTTTGAATAGATGTCTGTGGCGAAGTTTGTCGTAATCGCCTAAATATTGGTGTATATGATGACCTTGACCCACTTAAGACGTGTGCGAAGTTTTAGGCAAATGACGTCATCAGACTGGAAGTTACAATAAAAAGACCCTTTTTCATTCGAAAATTCCTGAAAAATCAACCATGGCAGTTTTTATATTTGTTTTTACTTTAATTGTCAATTGAAGGGTAGGTCTAAAACATTTCTAAAGTTTCGAGGCGATAAGCAAACTCGAACATACCCTACGCACGCTTAAAACTTCACGTTGACAATACCTCTGCTTCAAAACATGCACAGGACAGGACGTCCACAATGTACATGTACATGTACATGCACGTACGTTGTACATAGGCACGTACATCGTATGTCAGTCAGCCTGCAGCGTACGTGTTGCTGAGGTTAAATCCTGTCCACAGTGACCGTTTTAGCCGATTTTCGGCTAACTTTGACAGATTTTATGTTCATGCATGCGCATAGACAGGGACGTATTATAGCACTCTTGGCATTAATCTTTTTCAGATATCATTGAAAGTTGCCATAAGCATAGTCCCCATAGCCAAGACGTGTCCCGAAGAGTGACATCATGGTGACGTCATCAAGTGATTTATTATGGATTTATGAATAATTATGTTTTCTCATAGACTTTGTACACAGCTTTCTCCACAAGTCTTTCCCTATACAACACTGATATATCTTACTGAGTAGTTCTGAACTTCGGCCGAGAATTATTATGAGAAGGAAAAAGAAATCGTATTTTTTTACGCCTTTCATTTGATTGAAAATATTCCCAAGAGTTAGAATAGCAAGTAATATTTTATAAAAATGTTTCAGTTTTAAGGAAAATCACGCATTTAAAGGTGCAGTTTTTCTGCTGTGGGATTTTTAACCTATTGACTTTGTACACGTTTTCAAGCCACCATTTTCGTATTTTGGCGATCTGGAATCGTCATCAAAGTTACAGCCAAGGAAGACCCTCACACAAAAATTATGCCAAGACTATGACATCATGATGACGTCATCATCAAGTGATTTATTATGGATTCATGAATAATTAATTTTTCTCATAGACTTTGTACACAGCTTTTTCCACAAGTCTTTTCCTATACAACACTGATATATCTTACTGAGTAGTTCTGAACTTCGGCCGAAAATTACTATGAGAAGGAAAAAGAAATCGTATTTTTTACGTTTGCCATTGGATTGAAAATATTCCCAAGAGTCAGAATATCAAGTAATATTTATAAAAATGTTTCAGTTTAAAGGCAAATCATGTATTTAAAGGTACAGTTTTTCTGCTGTGGGATTTTTAACCCATTGACTTTGTATACGTTTTCAAGCCACCATTTTTATAACTTGGTGATCTGGAATCGTCATCAAAGTTACAGCCAAGGAAGACCCTCATACAAAAATTATGCCAAGACTATGACGTCACGATGACGTCATTACCTAATTTGTTTA